AACAATGAGTTTATTTTGTTATATATTATATAATATGTTATACAATATATAGAAATAGAAGTATGCATATTGTTTAAACTTATTGTAATTGTATATAATTCATACATACACGTCTGCAATGAACAAATGTGGTGCGGCACGTGTTACAGAAACTGTTTTTCAAAAACCATCTGCTCGTGTTTTTACACCGAATTGAATGTCGCTCCTTTCAGTTAGAGAATTATCGCTTGCTGCTCCTTGCCATAACCGAACGCCCGATATGTGCGATTGATAAATCTTCAATCATCTAGTAACTTAAAACACCTTGCATATGTACTGAGAAAATAAATATACTTAAAAAGATTCGATTCAATTCTGTAAGAGTTATACAAGAGAGTATGTCTGTTTTAATTATATTCATTAAACTTGAGTTTGTCAACAAATAATTGTAAACTAAATACATTTTGTTGATATAACAATATTGTTTTTTTTTTCTCATTTTGGTTTTCATCGCGCCGCAAGTAGTCGGGTAGAACGATTTTTGTGTGTTACGCGTGCATGTAACATATATTATAATGTGATTTCGTACGTTATACAACTGTGTCCATTTAAACATAAAAAGCGATTTCGAAAATATTTTCTAAAATATACATACGAACGTACCTACATACGTATGTACCGGTAATCGATTAACAACTTTCACTTGCAACTTACGTGACGTTATTCTATGTTAAAAAAAAAAACAGTTTGGATCAATTTTTCGGACTCTACGATGCTTAATGAAGTGGAAGTTATCAACCGCCACGTTTAATACTTTGTGTATCAATTGTGGGTGTTGTGGATGCTGTGGATGCTGTAGGTGCTGTGGATGTTGTGGATACTGTAGGTGCTGTCTTCAGAATCTTGTCAAAATATCCTGAATTATTCATAAATCTAAGCATCCTCTGAGTTAGTTCTTTGGATTTGCTATCATAAATTAGTTTCATTTCCGTGTTACCCATGTCAACGTCCAGCACTTTTTCGAAATTTTCCGTTCTCTTCTCGGGAACCAGCATCCTCAATCTAAATAGACCTACGATCACCGCATATTCTTTTCTCTTGCGCATAGCATCCATCAACTCTTCTTCCGAGGGAAGCTTAGTAACGCAATTCAATTTAGTCATTTCTTTACGTAACGCCTCCCGATATGTTTCTATCAATTTACGATCGTGGGAGTATATATAATCGGGTTTCGGAGAAGTGTGCAAAAAATGATACAAGTCAATAGCCGGAGATGAATAAACCGACGTTTGAAAATCCAGCTGTAAACAATAATTTTTAATTAATGTATTTTCGGAAGTGTTGAAATATATTTAATTTTCAGTTAAATTTGAAATTCTCTTCGATGAAATACCACTCTGTGTTTTTTGATTTGACAAAAGAAAAAGAAAACATTACCATTCTAACATCTATGTGCGCGCCTTCTTTTTTAAACATTAAATTCTTAATCCAACACTCTCCGTGATTCAGAACACGAAATTCGTCTTCATGACATTTGTAAATACGACAGCAAAATTCGGACCAATTTGTCTCGAGTATCTTTCTTACATTTTCCAATTTAGAAACGATTGCGGACATACGAATCGAATCCGGTTCTGAGCCTGTTTCTATCACGTTTTTCAGAGTTTTGTCTATCAGCTTGGCAAAATTTTTTGGACAATTTTGTGAGTTCAAAATTCCTCCGTCTGCGAACGACTCCACTAAATCGGGATTCTTAAAAATAAAAAATAAAAAATAAAAAAAAATTACACTCAAACTGTAATTACTTGAGATTTTTTTTCAAGTTATTGTAAACTCGCAATAGTGAATAAAAGTTGCAAATTAAATTATATACAAAGTTAAACAATTGTTTTTTCTTTCAACGTTCTACTTATTTCGTTATGCAACATACCTTTTCGTATAACGCCACAGAGCCTGCGTGTAGTTTGGCCATAAGTTGCATTACAGCATTGCACTCCACCAAACTCAAACCTTCTCTTCGATTTTGTATGTAATAGTTTTCTAATTTTAGATCTTCCATAATAAAGATTCCAAAGTTTTTTTTACAAGTTTTCACGAGTTTTGGCCCTATTTGTGTATTTACCATTTCTTGGATCTGCGGCAGAACTTCGTTTAGCATTTTTTTTTCGCGACGAAACATCCGATTCGACAGAGCGGCTTGATATTCAATCATCAAGTTGTCCGATTTCTTTCTTGGTGAGTAAGTTTTAACAATGAATGTGCGTATCTTCTTGACTAATTTGTCGTCGGAACGTTGTCTAGCAATAAATTTAACATGCGCGCTGTACACTCTGCTCACGTATCGAATTCCTTTTCTTATTCTAGGGACTCCCTTTACAGAAATCACGCTGATCGAGTGATATTTTTCTTCCAAGTTTTTACAAAGAAGTGACTGGAAAAATTTTTTGCAGAAAATTTCCCACATCGTTGTTGTAGCCATTTCTGTCGTTTGATGAATCTGCGTAATAATTTATCACATAAGAACTAAATCTATTTGTTTGTTTACTTTAATAGATAAGAATTTTTTTATTTATTTATTTATTCAAGTTTTGGAAAAATTTATTTCAAGAAATAAGAATAAAACACGAAGGTAAATGAGAACGTACCTCTCTGAAAAGATTCGATCCGCATGCGTTGCCTGTTGTTTTGCTTATGTATGTGAGTTTGTGTATTGTGTGTTGATCGTACTTCGACCTTCTGCGTGTAAGTCAGCGCTTACAACGTGATATTTTGAACGTTTATCGATAACCGTCAATCTCAAGGATCAACAATCGGTATATTTCACTCGCAAATTTGAAAAGGATATATAAAAATACAATAATCAGTCCACTGAATTTTCATGCAACAGTCCCATTTCGTCACGTGTAAAAAAATGGATACTGATAAAAAAAAAAAAAAAAAAAAAAAAAAGGATTATTATACACACATATGGCACATATATGTTTTTCTATGTAAATGAATATTTCTAATCGAAAACACACATTTATGAACATATCATTCTAAATAAATTGATGCAGAAAATGATAAAACAGTATAGTCTTTATTGCTCAGATTGTTTCTGATACAGTGTAATATTTTCAGCAGAAATATTGTTATATGTGTCTCCTTATCTTTTTATTTAGAAATATTGTTGTTATAATTTGTTCTACATTGAAATTTGGAAAAAAGCATGTTTGTAAACATATTATACATTATAAATAACATAGGTATAATACGTATTATATATTATATTATTAATACGACCACGCAGCGTAACATACAAAATGTGATTTTTATACATTATAAAATAACTTACAGTTCATTAGGATATAAGTCATAAGTTAGCAACATTTTTATTAGTTAGAAAAAAGTTTAAAAGAATACAATAAAGCGAATTTTATTCACTAATGTAAACCTGAATGTGGCATACGACGCATCTTTCTTTCGAATAAATTCTTGCAAGAGAAAAAATTACAGTTGGACCTCTGTTTTGTCACTTTATCGGCAACGAGACTTCTCCGTATTTACTTTTTTTTCCAGTCCAACGTAGTAAATTTCATCATAATGTTACTGTTACTAATTATCGTTTCGCGAGATGGTGGCAGTGGAATGTCATCGCGAAAAGGAGACAATAACTTTAGAGAAAACGAAAAATTTAGCAACTCTACAAAAACAACGAAAAAAAAAAACAAATAAAAGTCTGACTGTATATTTCTGTTTGATGTCAATCTTTCACCTATTCCTATTTTCTGATAAAATTGTATACTTTTAAACTATTTTAAGAACACAGTTTATCACACATGCGATAAATGTGGCATAACAATTTATCCTATGTGCAGTTTTCGCTTGCTTTTAAAAAATGTTGCATTTACATATTTAATAAAAGAAAAATATAATAGTACTTCTCTGTGAGAATTTTTTGAACTTAATATTTGTAAGTTACTCTTGGTAATACGTCTTTCTATTTATCGCAAACACGATTACGAAATTCATTATTCGCACACACATGCGAATCATATACATTGTTTATATAAACTGTAGAATGAAAACATAGAATTAATCAATACCGCTTTCTGATTACGTGTCGTTATTTTGTATCAAAAAACAAGATTCGAAAAGGCTAAAATATTTTACAAATTTGTCGCTCGTTTCCGATAATTGATGCGAATCTTTTGTCTTTCTATTTACGTTATATACAGTTAAAGTACTTTTTGTGGAACATAGTTAAACACATCTTCTTCACAAGTTCCTCGTACGGATTTTTGCCGTAATCACTATTTTCTTCGTCTTCTTCTATTTTATCCGCAACCATATTTAACTTAAATGTCACACCTACAAACACGGCGTATAATTCTCTCTTTCGCATAGCCGCTTTCAACTGTTCCATCGTTGGTGGTTTCGTCTTGCAGTTTAGCGCGTTCATTGTGTTACACAAAATCGTCAAGTACATATGTAACAATTGCTCATCCTGATCATATATTACGGCAGTTTCGGGAGAGATATTTAAGAAGTGATGCAAGTCAATAGCTGGCGATGAATAGTTTGCCATCTGAAAATTTTGCTGCAAAGTGTTTCAAACAAACGTTTACTTTTTCTGCAAATTGTACTTTCGCGAACTTTAATAAGACAAACTTCTTATTTATTTGACGAAAAGAAATGTTACCAGTAAGGAAGGACAATTGCTGTCTTCTTCACTAAAGAATAGATTATGAACGGAAAAGTCTCCATTATTTAGCACACAAAATTCTTCAGGTTCGTAATTGTACAAATCGATGATTTGTTGCATAGTGTAAACTCTATCGGCTACCATTTTCATTTTAGCCGCGATTATCGGATAGTACATATTTATAAGAACACTTGCTATCTTCATAGAGTCATGAAATACTTGTATCAAATGTTCCGAACTTTCTGCTGTCAAACTTTTGTCGATTCTGAAAGACTCTACTAAAGTAGGATTCTTAAAGATAAAAAAAAGGTCTGAGTTATTTTTGATTATTTTGTAATATTTTTGACGATATATTATAGGTGTCAAGTAAACACATTTTTTTTACTGATTTTCTTCTAATAATTGTTACCTGTTCATGCAAAGCCACCGAGGCTGCGTGGAATTTGGCCATAAGTTGTATTGCTTTGACGGAATATGAAAAATTCAAACCTCTATCGTAAGGTTTCATTTGATATCCTTTATTCGATAAATCCTCCAGAAAGAACATTTTCAATTTGTCTGAGGAATATTGCAAAATTGGTCCTACATTTGCTCTCAGTAAGTCCTCGATCTGCGGCAAAATTTCCCGCTGCACGCGCAACTCGTTTTTAAATAACTTGCGCGAAACGTCTTTTTCAGGACACAACATATTATCAGAGAAGAGTTTCATCATGAAACGTTGTAACCTGGAGTTACAACTGGGATCCAAGCAATCGAAAAAACAACCTATTTTAACGAGCACTTTGGGTTCATCGATGACAGACCAAGTTGTTTTCAATTCGTGTTCCGGTATATTGAATTCTATAACGTGCCTCTCCTTCCACAACAATATTTTGATCAAATGTTTCAAGATGTACTCCAACTTATTTACTCTCGTGTGCAACTCATAGTCCATTTTGTTTGTTAAAATATTAATCTATAAAATTTGTGATAACATAATCGTTATGTGAAAAGTACATCTCATTATCTGGATTCGGCGAAAACGCCGTGTATGTAATTTTGCATTATTTTGCAAAGAATTTAAACACTTAGATGAGAACGTACCTGTTCTAGAAAACCTTCGTCCATAACTGTCGGCTGCCAACTTAAGTGTGCGCGATTCAGACGTATACTGTTTTTCCACAGACGTGTTTTGATCTATGTGAGTCAGCGTTTACGGCTTCAAATTTTGAAAGTTTATTGACACATTTCGTGCCAACAACACGGATCAATCGATAAATTTTGGTTGACGGATGCGATCTATACTGCTTACTGTCGATAATTTCTAAAGACAGCAATATTATCAATATTCGCGTCTGTAATCTTCGCGAAAACGCGAGAGAAAATCGTGTGTTGAGAATCGTGATTCGATGCGTTTAACTTCTGTATTTTTATTTTCACAGCGGCTTTATATCGCGATGTGTGTTAGGTTTTACAACACGAGTTTTACGCACTCGTGTATGTAATAATTTTCATTGTTCGATTACAAGATGGTTTTTTATCTACGCTGCTTAGTTTTGTCGATCATAACTGAATCACATTTTTTCAGAGCATTTTGCTCATGTGATACGCGCTGTGTAATCTGCTCACGTATCGAATTTCCTTTGTTATTCTGGAGACTCCATTTACATAAATCAGAATGATCAAGTGATATTTCTCAAAGTTTATAGGAATAAATGACTTAAAGAATTGTTTGCAGAATTTTTTTCACATCATTATTGTAGTTATGTCGTTTATTGAAATTGCAATAATTGTCACATAAGAACTAAATTTATTTGTTCGTCTACTTTGATAAGAATTGTTTTATCTATTTATTCAATTTGGAAAATTATTTTAAGAAAGAAGAATAAAACAATAAGATAATGAGAACGTATCTCTTCGATATCAGTTGATTCGCATGTGTCGCCTATTGTTTCGCTTATGCATGTGAGTTTATAATGCGAGATCGTGCTTCGACTTCTTGCATGTAAGTCAACTCTAAACGTATATATATATATATATATATATTTCATTTACATATATGACTAAATAAAGTAGAAAATGATAAACTAATAGTTTCGCTTTTCTTTTTGATACGATATACAGCACAAAGTCTTATATAATATCATAACAATTATTGTTATTATACTTTGTTATTATTACTTGATACGCTTGATAATGTGTCTTTCTATTTATCGCGACTACAAACATAAAGTACATTATACGCATACAACACATATATGAATAAAATATATACAGGATGTTCGACAATTAGTGTAAAATCTCTCGTAGGCAGGTAGAAGGAATAAAACTGAGTCGTAAAGTCCTGAACCATTTTTTTCTATTACATATGATAAAGGAGTAATTATCGAATAAATCAAACCACTGTCAGTGATCCGCGCGGAGCGCTCACGCACACCGGGCGCGTGGTTCACTAAGGTGCGTTCGGCTAAAGGTCAGCGCTGATTGGCTTGATTTCTATTCAATAATTACTCCTTTATTATATGTAATAGAAAAAAATGGTTCAGAACTTTTCGACTCAGGTTTACTCCTTCTACTTGGCTACGAGAGATTTTACACTAATTGTCGGACACCCTGTATATAGTTTAAAAAGAATACATAGAATTAATCCATACGACTCTCTCGGATTATGTGTCGTTATTTTATATTAAAATTCAAAGTAAACAAAAGTAAAATATTATTCTCTATAAATCATTGCTTGTGCTCGACGATTCTGACTCATTATGAAAATTATTTATACAATCAAAGTACCCTTTGTGAAACATAATTGCACACATCTTCTTCGCAAGTTCCTTGTATGGATTTTGTACGTATTCACAATTTTGTGTGTCTTCCTCTGTATCCGACATCTCACGTAATCTAAATGTCATACCCGCAAACACGGCGTATAATTTTCTCTTTTGCATAGCCGCTTTCAACTGTTCCATCGTGGGTGGTTTGGTTGTGCAGTTCAGCTCCTCCATTGTGTCGGTCAGAGTCTCCAAATATCGTTTTAACACCTGCTCGTCTAGATCATATATCACGGCAGTTTCCGGGGAGGTGTTTAAGAAGTAATGCAAATCAATAGCAGGCGATGAATAGGTGGCCATTTGATAATTTTGCTGCAAAGTGTTTTGAAAACGTTTAATTTTTATGCAAATTACACTTTCGCGAACTTTGGTAAGACAGACTTTGTTTTATTTGACAAAAAAAACATTACCAGTAAAGGTAGACTGCTGTCTTTAGTAAAGATTATATTATCAGTTGAAAAGTCTCCATTATTTAGCACACAAAACTCTTCGGGTTCGTAACTGAACAAATCGATGATTTGCTCCATATTGTGAATGTTAAAAAGAAATGTTTCCATTTTAGTTGCGATTTGCGGATAAGTGTCTCTCATTAAACCAATTGTATGGTTCATAGTCCTGCGAAATATTCGCATCAAATTGTCGCAACGTCTTATTGTCACAATTTTGTTGATTATGAATGATTTCACCAAATAAGGATCCTTGAAGATAAAAAAATCATTGTTAATTTTTTCGATTATTTTGTAAAACATACATTACTATACATGACAAATGTCAGTTAACAACACATTGTTTCACTGCTTTTTTCCGATAATTGTTAGATTTACCTGTTCGTGTAAAGCCACCGAAGCTGCATGTAATTTGGCCATAAGATGTACTGCTTCCAAGCAGTTAGTAAATTGCAAACCTCGACTAAAAGGTGTCACCGGGGATCCTTGATTCAACACATTCTCCAGAAAGATAATTTTAAAGTGTTTTGAATAATGGTTCACTTTTGGTCCTATTTTTGATTTCAACAGGGTCTCGATTTTCGGCAAAACTTCTTTCCGCATTTTCAACTCGTATAAAAATAGATCGTGCGAACACTCTTTAGACAAAATATGGTCAGAGAAGATTTTTGCCACAATTGTCGTCAAGAGTTCAGAACTGGAATTGGAATCGGAATCGGAGTTGTCCGTAGTATAGTATACTGTAAAGTACACTTTGAATGCTTCGGAAAACCATGATGGTTTCACTTCGTGATCATTTATGGTGTTTGTCCAATCGACTTCGATTTGTGAAGACGTCTTTTTCTCATCAAGAATTATTTTAAAAATATGTCGCGTGTAATCTTCGATTGTTTTTATATATGACGCGTTCATATCGTTCGATTCGTCATATTGTATAAATTTACCCATTTTATTTGTTGATTGATTAATCTATATAATTTATGATAATATAATTGTTATGTGAAAAGTACATCTCATTATCTGGATCTGGCGGTAACGCCATGCAAGTAATTTCGCTTTATTTTGCGAAGAGTTTACACGGTTATGAGAACATACCTGTTTTGAAGAAACTTCGTCCGTAACCGTCGGCTGCCACATTAGGTGTGTGAACTGTTGTCATATTCTGTTTTTACATAGAGGCTGTTTTGACCTATGTGAGTCAGCGTTTACGACTTCAAATTTTGAAAGTTTATTGCCATTCCATGTCGACAACACGGAACAATCGTTAAATTTTGGTTAACGGATGCGATTTATACTACTTACTATCGATAATTTCTAAAGAGAGCAATATTATCGATAGTCGTGTTTGTAATTTTCGAAAACGCGGGAAAATCGTGTGTTGAAAATTGAGAATCGATGCGTCTAACTTCTGTGCTTTTTACTTTCACAGCGATTTTATATTGCAATGCGTGTTCTACAACACGAGTTTTCCGCACTGGTGTATGTAATAATTTTCATTGTTCGATTAAAAAATGTTTTTTTTATTGACGCTGATTACTTTCGACGACAAATATTGAATTACATTTTGCACAAACATTTTGCAATTGCTCATGTGATACGCGCTGTATAATCTCACGTATCGAAGTTTCTTTCTTATTCTAGAGACTCCATTTACAAAAATCAAAATGATCAACTGATATTTCTCAAAGTTAATAGGAATAAATGACGGAAAGGATTGTTTGCAGAAGTTTTTTCACATCGTTATTGTAGCTAGTTATGTCGTTTATTCAAACTGCGATAATTATTACATAAGATCTAAATTTATTTGTTCGTTTACTTTGATACGAATTGTTTTATCTATTTATTAAATTTGGAAAACTATTTCACAAAATAAGAATAAAACATAAAGATAATGAGAACGTATCTCTTCGATATCAGTTGATTCGCATATGTTGCTTGTTGTTTCGCTTCTACATGTGAGTTTGTAAGGCGGGATCGTGCTCCGACTTTTTGCATGTAAGTCACCTCTAAACGTATATGTATATTATATTTCATTTTCGTATATTTCTAAATACATTGAAAATGATGAACCAATAGTTATACTTAAAAAATGTATTTTTTTTTTTCCATATGTAATCGTATACAACTATACTAGTACTGTAGTACTACTTCCTTAAAGTAGTACTTTTTTTTCAAACTTACTATTTTTTTGATACTTGTTACGCTTGGTAATGTGTCTTTCTATTTATCACAAATACGAATATGAGATACATTATAACACCACACATACACGGAAAAAAAAAGTTTTGCTATTCTATGGTCAGCAAGAAAAATGGCTGACCCTACAAAATTGTTTGTTTCATCAACAAAATGTTTTGTTGGCGAAACAAAAATTTTACTAAACTTAACAAATGTTTTTCTGCTGGCCATATAGTAACTAATTTCTTGCTATTCTAGCAAATCTTTTTTTCCGTGTATGAATCGTGTATATAAGTTGTAAAACGAATACATAGAATTACTCTATGTATTCTTTGCTTTCTCTCTCTCTCTTTCTTTACTTATATGCTGTTATTGTGTATTAAAATTAACGTATAAAAAAGTAAACTATCATTCTTTATATTCCAACGTTTGTGTCCGAAGAATTTTACTTAATTACAAAGGTCATTTGTATACTCGAAGTATCCTCTGTCAAACATAGTTACACACATCTTCTTTGCAAGTTTCTTCCACAGAATTTTGTCGTGATCACTATGTTCTGTGTTTTCTTTTACTTTATCCATCATCACACTTAACCTAAATGTCATACCCGCAAACACGGCGTATAGGCCTCTCTTTTGCATAGCCTCTTTC